AAAAAAAGAAAAAAAAACAGAATAAAAAAGACGCCAGTTGCAATGAATGATAAGATTTGCAATACTCACGACACAGTTGCTGGACACCCAGGCGACAAGTTTCGTCTTCTGCGCGTGGAAGTCTGTCAGCGCCAGCTTCTTGGAGGCAGCGAGCGAAGGAGGAAAGCCGGAGACATTGTGGGGGGTGCGTCCCAGAGATCTGGAAAATGTTCAGCCGAGTTGGAGAAGTATTTGAGATGTACCAAGACAGAAACATTCCTCTGGGAGTATTTTTTTTCTTCTTCTCCTCATCTGTCTTCTTCTTTTTGTTTTCTTCTTCTCAGTCCTTTTCTTCATCATCTTTTTGTTCGTCATTTTGTTGGTATTACTGTTGTTATTCTTGAAGCACAAGATGTGAAACAGATACCAGTGACTATCGTAACCTCAGATGTTCTAAAAAAAACCCTGTATACTTTCCTGGTCTTTTCCTCGTCACCCGTCTGGTCAGATTCTCCACGGAAGATATTCTTGGTCTGCCTCTATCCTACTTTGTGAGTCATGTTGGGAAATTCCTCTTTTGATGCAAAACTTGTTACAATGACATCTGTCCATTAACTGTTACATGACATCTGTCCATTAACTGTTACATGACATCTGTCCATTAACTGTTACAATGACATCTGTCCACTAACTGTTACATGACATCTGTCCATTAACTGTTACATGACATCTGTCCATTAACTGTTACATGACATCTTTTCATTAACTGTTACAATGATATCTGTACATTAACTGTTACATGACATCTGTACATTAACTGTTACATGACATCTGTACATTAACTGTTACATGACATCTGTACATTAACTGTTACAATGACATCCGTCCATTAACTGTTACAATGATATCTGTCCATTAACTGTTACAATGACATCTGTACATTAACTGTTACAATGACATCTGTCCATTAACTGTTACAATGATATCTGTCCATTAACTGTTACAATGACATCTGTACATTAACTGTTACAATGACATCTGTACATTAACTGTTACATGACATCTGTACATTAACTGTTACAATGATATTCTGTACATTAAACAAAAGAAACCACTCACAACAAGTCTGGGTCTGTCTCCGTCTCCCATGACTGAAAAGGTTTATCTCGTCGCATGAGGCCACCGTAAGGGGAATACACATCAGCGTCGCGACGGTACATCGCCGTCCAATTGAAGACGCCGTCATAGCGACTAAAGTCAAGGTCAAGCCGAAATAGAGGCTCGTGGTTCACCAACACCCATACCTGTGACAAGGAAACAGAAAAAGGTCACCGTGAAAGAACAAGTCATTGATGGTGAGGGGCGCAGATGGGCCGACTCCCAGGAACTCTGTTCTGCGAGAGGAGGTAAAAACTTGGATCAAACTGTCAGACTGTTTCAGCTCAAATAGCATGATCACATGATCACGTTTCATGTATTTCTATTTGTTGGATTTCGGCAACATTTGTTTAGACCAAGCATTTGGTTCTGCTTCAAAAAATTAGTTTCTTTTTAAAGTGGTTTTAGAAAAGTTTGGAGTTGTTCCATATATGTCTTGTAAAACTGTGACCTATAGGTCTCGCAAGTGCTGTAAAACTGTGACCTATAGGTCTCGCAAGTGCGGTAAAACAGTGACCTATACGTCTTGTAAAACTGTGACCTATAGGTCTCGCAAGTGCTGTAAAACTGTGACCTATACGTCTTGTAAAACTGTGACCTATACATCTTGTAAAACTGTGACCTATATGTCTTGTAAAACTGTGACCTATATGTCTTGTAAAACTGTGACCTATACATCTTGTAAAACTGTGACCTATATGTCTTGTAAAACTGTGACCTATAGGTCTTGTAAAACTGTGACCTATATGTCTCGCAAGTGCTGTAAAACTGTGACCTATATGTCTCGCAATGCGGTAAAACTGTGACCTATACGTCTTGTAAAACTGTGACCTTTATGTCTCGCAAGTGCTGTAAAACTGTGACCTATATGTCTCGCAATGCGGTAAAACTGTGACCTATACGTCTTGTAAAACTGTGACCTATAGGTCTCACAAGTGCTGTAAAACTGTGAGGAAAGCTCCATCTGTCACCTGGTGGTCTGGGTGGTGTGTGGGAAGCGGCTCGATCAGGAGGTCTTTGTCCTTGGGGTGAAACAGGAGCGCGTCGCTGTCGTTGATTCGGTTGTGGTCCGTGATGAACTCACACGCTGACACCTTGCACGATTCTGTCAAAAGTGAGACAGGGAAAGGAAAACTGTAACTTACTGAATGTCTCATAGCAAGGGAAACCTGTAACTTTTACTGAAGGACAACTGTTGCTTACTGAATGTCTCATAGCCTGCCAGCGAGACAGGGAAGGGGAAAATTGTAACTTACTGAATGTCTCATAGCAAGGGAAAACTGTAACTTACTAAATGAAAACTGTAACTTACTGAATGAAAACTGTAACTTACTGAATGTCTCATAACCTGCCAGGGCCCAGAATGGTCGGCCAAACCGTGTCGTCCATAGCAGGATTGTCTTAGTCGACTGGTTCCTCCAAGCGCGATGAGGAAAGTAGGTCACGTAGGACACATTACCACGTCCAAACCACCAGGCAAGGTGTCTGCACAAGACAAATAGTGCAGGGATCCAGTGAAATGTGTTCACTCGAAGAAAAGTCTATCAAGAAAAACATATTCACTTTACAAACAAAAGTGAAGTAAACTCTACAAATCAAGAAGTTCTGGTATCAAAAGCATTGCAATTAAATTTCTTCCCAAATGTCAAGAATGCTTCAATAAAATTCTTAAGTTTTGCATAAAAAGATATGTTTGTTATAAATATAGATCTAGAGAGTAACACGTCAGTACACCAGTGTGTGTGTGTTTTTTTAGCAAGTGTGTGTTTGTACAATATATTATGTGTATGTGTGTGTGTATGTGTGTGAAAGGCAACCCACCTACCTGTCCCGTACGACTCACCTGTCATCCCCCCACCTGTCCCATACAACTCACCTGTCATCCCCCCACCTGTCCCGTACGACTCACCTGTCATCCCCCCACCTGTCCCGTACAACTCACCTGTCACATACGACTCACCTGTCATCCCCCCACCTGTCCTCTGTACAACTCACCTGTCACGTACGACTCACCCGTCATCCCCCCACCTGTCACGTACGACTCACCTGTAATCCCCCCACCTGTCACATACGACTCACCTGTCATCCCCCCACCTGTCCCGTACAACTCACCTGTCACGTAAGACTCACCTGTCATCCCCCCACCTGTCCCGTACAACTCACCTGTCACGTAAGACTCACCTGTCATCCCCCCACCTGTCACGTATGACTCACCTGTCATCCCCCCACCTGGCCAGGTAGTACAAGAGCAGCGAGGACAACACACAGCCAGCCAGCAGAACCAGCCAACATCTTCTGGAACTCATGACCCCGGACTGAGCAGCACAATGTCCTGGTCGTCATTCACCCCATGGAGAGGGGTCTGGTCAGCTGAAAGAAAAACCAAAACCAAAATAAAACACGAGGGTTACCATTTGGAGATTTACTATCTCCCAGTGCTGTCTGTATGATATTCAAGGTATATGTTACACCCAGCGCTGTACGATATTTAAGGTCTGTTACACGTTACTCCCAGCGATATACGATATTCAGAGTCTGTTTCACCCAGTCCACAGAGCCGATAAGATTCAATCAAACTGAGTTAGGGTCATCCAAATTTTGCTCCAAGAAGTGGCAAAAGCTGTCATTTAGGTAGGAACAAAACAAGCGAACTGACTTGGTATCTTGAAAAACAAAATTGATCTTGAAGATCACATGCCAAAATAGTAGCTTCTGCCCCTTCCATATTGGAAAATCTGGCTGGCCCTGGCACACCAATCGAAAGAGAGGCGAACATCTCTATATCTAGAAACTAGAGGCCACAGAACCCCGACCACACCACACACTCACTCACTCACTATGTGGGCCTATTTCCTATTATATTTCATTCCAGAACTACAGAAAAAAAGAAAAGGGTATCTAGTACCAACTCATGAAAAAAATGTCAAACACCCATTAGTCCAAGAACTGATGTTTTGACAGGCTTTCGTACAGCAGTCAGAATGCTCCAGCATTGTGCATTGTGAAAGAAATGTTGAGTAAAGTTTACAGTAAAAGTGTAAACATTGTTGTGCCTCCGGCCGGAAGTAGAGAGGGTCGATCTAGTAGTTTCTAGCAGTTTAAGTTTTAGTAGATGTTGCGAAGCATTCGCCGTTTTCGGCATTTTCGTTATTGTAACGATTTATATAAACGAACTGCGCGGCCGGCCATTAAAACTACAGCCGGGGAGACACAGTTCTTATTCGACGTATAGATCTAGATCTAGATCTAGATCTAATGATTATTGGCATTTCTTCCATTCCTCATCGTTTTTTTTTGTTTGTTTGTTTTTGTTCAGTTAATAAGTCAATTAATTTGTCCACAAATGTTATCTCTTCCGACGTATAGATTTAGTTCACTATTCGTTTTATTTTGCCGAAAGTTTGAACATTTGCAGCATTGTGTAACAGAATTTCTAATCGTTAAAACCTTTTCGCATCCCACAGCCCATCATTACGTTTTCTCTCTGATTCGCAACTTATCGCGTCAATCTACACAAAGAACGTGCCAAATCATGAGAAAAAAAACAACCCGCCTCTTTTCTTTTATCCTCCTTTTTTTTCTTTGCACCAGTTCATCCGTTCATTCTACAACTTCATTTATGTTGTTAGATCTAGCTTTTCCATGGACTTATATTTACTTATCTAGGCTATTATATATGGATGGCGCTTTCGAGGCCGAGGAGAATTATAAACTATCTCATAATAAGATAATCACGAGTGGTGTATTTGATCATAATACAGAATATAGGCCTAGGCTATGGTTCTAGAGATTTTTGTTGAATCTGATAAAGCGACTGTGAACAGGAATGATTGTTAGATCTATTTAGATCTTTGAGTCAATCGTCGATTTGATTTATTTGAATAGGCTAATGAATACTGAATACTCCCAAACTTCCCGCCTTGATTTGAACTTACTTGATCCCCGTTTTTCCCCGTTTGAAGTTCTATCTGCTCAATCCTCAGGCCTAGTTTTGAGAAAGGTGACGTAAAAGGAAATTTGAGTTTCACAAAATGTCAAGCTTTTTCGAAAAGGCCCACAATTCTTTGAATACTTTGATAACATTTAACTGGGAATAATCTGACGGGTTTGATTGAGCCGATAGGGCATTTGATTTCTGATCTCATGGTAGTAACTCAAAAAGACCAAAAATGTCAGACGACAGAAATTTGTAATTCGACTGAGGTAGTGATCCGATACTCCAAAGTAAGGGAAATGAGGACATCATGCGCATAGCAAAATAGATTCAATTTTGATTATTTATGTCCCCCCCATCTCCCAATTTTCTTTTTAACGAAGCTCGCAACATATAAGGCATCTGACAATTTTTATCCATAACAAAACTGAATTGACTATTGCGTCAACAGTTTTAGTTGATTAGATCTAGGCGTATACTTCTCCGATCCGTCAACAGTATACATATTATAATATATAGTTTGCCGACATTGAACAATCAAGCTTTCTTCGATGGCAAACCCATAATCACAAACGCAGATCTGTTGTTTTTTTCCTGATCATTTTCAGAAAGTTTGGCTTCAGAAATAATTTTATTGTTTGCGAAAGACGGACTTTAAACCCTTACAACTTAATAAAAAGAAAAAACAATTTCAGTGTGAAAAAAGACGACTTGGGATACTCATTAATTTCTATGCCAACGTCTGACTGAAGTCAAAGTCTCGTACATCCATTTTCTTAATTTTCTGGCTCTCCCCTATCCGAAAATAACACATTGTGTAAGCCTTCACTGAGGTAAACAAAATGGTCATTAGGAAAAGGATATTTGACAGTTCGCAGAGTGTAGACATATATTATTATGATAATGATTATTATTATCATTATTATTATTATTATTATTATTATTATTATTATTATTATTATTATTATTATTATTATTATAATATCTTGTACTTCTGCCTCTATTCCTTCCCTGTCTCAATCCCCCTATTTCTCCTGTGTGTCTCAAATTTTAGTCCCGATTTTGTTCTTGAACTCTATGTCTCTAGATCTAGTTTCCGGCTATTGTGGGGGTATGGAGCAAGAGCTGGGCGTGTGCTGAAACGTCTTTAAATAAATGTAATTGCTCAATAGTATCATAGTCATAGGCCTACAATTAAGTCATTTGTTTTGTTTTGCCGAGTTCGTTTCTCACTCGTCCCTCTCATCAACCAAGTCAAGAATCCCTGTAGACTTCAGAAATGGTGGAAGAGGGGGGAGGGGGGGGGTCGTGCAAAGAAAAGCAAAGATTGATATACATGTAATATAGGCCTATTCTTACTCTGTGAAAAGTGGACACCCTGAATGATAAGATAATGAAAAAGAAAGGTCTGAATTAGATTTAGACCGAATCAGTGTGTAAAGTTGAAAGTACAAAGTAAACCAAAATCGACGAGAAGCCGAAAGTAATTGATATTAGTGCTCACCGCTACGGGTCAAAGTTTGATAACGGCAGAGACCGACCTGCCTACTGTGCCCTTCTCTTCACCATTCGTTTGTTTTATAAGAACTTTCTGATAAGCTCTTTCAGTAGGCCTACCTTTGTAAACTTCGGCAAGAATAGTACCTTTCAAAAGACCGGAAAAATGTCTGGACTTCGGATATTGGTTGGTTGTAAAAGAGTCATTGACTATGCCGTGAAGGTAAAAATATTAATAATTTAGAGTAATAAATAAAGAGTTCATGCCATGCTCTATTTTTCACTCTCTGCTCCAGATATTTTGATCTAGAAATCTAGATCTAGATTTTAAGGTCGAGAGATCCAAGTAGCTGGCTACTTTAGTGTAGTTGGTGGTTGTCAAGATGGTAATCTACGGCTACGGTTTACTCTAGTTCTAGGTCTGTCTTCTAAGGCTAAGAAGGCAAGGTATCGAAAAAGTGCCCCCCCCCCCCCCCCAACTCCCCTTATTAATTTTCAGGTTTTTTAGCAGGCCCATGCCATGAGAAGGGGTCCACTAAAGAGAAATAAAGAAATGTGTGAAATTAAATGAAAATGATGAATTCTGCTCAGTTTAAACTTAGCTTTGTGAAATTAAGTTTTGGAATATACTTAGCCAGCTTTTTTTACTCAACTTGCATTTTTTCTTTCTAATTGTGTTATTTCTATGGAGGTAGGCCAGGACCAATTCTGTGATGCTGATGATGATGATGTGTTGCAATTGCCTTAAACTCTTAGTCTTATTAAAAACTAAATCGACAGCTTGTGATGCTAACATTGTGTGATTGTTGTTCCGTCAGGTCCGCGTGAAGCCAGACAAGACTGGCGTGGTGACCGAGGGCGTGAAGCACAGCATGAATCCGTTTGACGAGATCGCAGTGGAGGAAGCGGTCAGGATGAAGGAGAAGAAGCTGGCCTCCGAGATTGTTGCTGTCTCTTGTGGACCCACGCAGTGTCAGGTGGGGGCTGTTGCTGTTGTTGTTGCTGTTGTTGTTGCTGTTGTTGCTGTTGTTGTTGCTGTTGTTGTTGTTGCTGTCTCTTGTGGACCCTCGCAGTGTCTGGTGGGGGCTATTGTTGTTGCTGCTGTTGTTGTTGTTGCTGTATGTTGTTGCTGAAGTAGCGCCATTGATGTGGGAGCTGACTGCTCGGCCCACATGCCCGAGTGTATCTCATTTTAAGGAAATTTACAATTACAATTCTTTCTTCACATATATTTTTGAGAGGGATATATATATAGAATTGATTGTTTTTACAAAAGGTTGCTTTCTGTGTTTTCCCAGGAAACCCTTCGTACTGCCATGGCTATGGGAGCTGACCGGTCGATTCACGTGGAGGTGGATGCACAGAGCTACGAGGGGATGCAGCCCATACACGTGGCCAAGATCTTGTCCAAGATTGCCCAACAGGAGAAAGTGGACCTGGTCTTTACTGGGAAACAGGTGAGTCAAACTGAGGTGAATCGAGGTAAATCAGGTGAGTCAAACTGAGGTAAATCAAGGTGAATCAGGTGAGTCAAACTGAGGTAAATCAGGCGAAACAAACTAAAGTAAATCAGGTGACGTTGTAAAGGTAAGGCCATGTGTACACCAAAGCAGTATCGACGTAATTTTGTTGTTGTCGGGAGGAGGCTATTTGGTCTGTTAGTTTCCGGCATGCATGAACAGGTCTAAGGTTAAGGAATGCAAGCCGGGAATATCAAACTGTAAATACAGATTTTTTGGTTAGATGAGTAAAATTGTCAATTTGCATTTAAACTGGTGGTTCACTCGCAGACTTTGGTCATTTGAGACATTAATTAAAAATATAACCGTACATTTTTAATTGAAACCTAGAATTAGTCAATGTTTTAGCTTTTGGCTGGTGACTCACCGCTTAGCCCGACATAACTGCCACTACTGACATTCGAACCATCCAGGCATTTGTCGGGAGGGGTTGTGTCATTTTGATGGACACCCAAATGGAATTCTCAAGGTAAAAACAGGTGCTCTATTTCAACTATCAGTTTCCTGGCAGACGGAAGACTGTTAGTCGGCTGTTTTGGTTTGGCGGAGACAACTGTGACAACACGCTCAATGATTCTTTCTCTTGCTTACTTATTGTTTCCTTTCTGCTTACTTATTGTTTCTTTTCTGCTTACTTATTACTTATTGTTTCCTTTCTTGCTTACTTATTACTTATTGTTTCCTTTCTTGCTTACTTATTGTTTCCTTTCTTGCTTACTTATTACTTATTGTTTCCTTTCTTGCTTACTTATTGTTTCCTTTCTTGCTTACTTATTACTTATTGTTTCCTTTCTGCTTACTTATTGTTTCTTTCTCTTGTTTCTTTCATGTTGGCTTCAGGAGCTGATAGAGTGGAAGCGCCTGGCCTCTTGAGTGATCTGAACCGTATCAAAATCTGATCATGACGAAACCACTCTTATGGTCCTGTCCAATTTGTTTGTGTGTTTTCCTAATGGTCCTGTACAGTTTGTCCGTGTGTGTTTTCCTAATGGTCCTGTACAGTTTGACCGTGTGTGTTTTCCTAATGGTCCTGTACAGTTTGTCCGTGTGTGTTTTCCTATTGTCCAGTTTGTACAGTTTGTCCGTGTGTGTTTTCCTATTGTCCAGTTTGTACAGTTTGTCCGTGTGTGTTTTCCTATTGGTCCTGTACAGCAGTGAACAGGATAGAGGCAGCCAGCCTCCTAACTGACAAAAACGGTGACCAAAACGTTTTGGTCTAGACTAGATGACATGGTTTCTCACGTGTACCTTCTCTCTGTGTGTGTTTCAGGCCATCGATGACGATTGTAACCAGACGGGGCAAATGATTGCTGCACTGCTGGACTGGCCACAGGTGGGTTGTGAGAGAGAGAGAGAGAGAGAGAGAGAGAGAGAGAGAGAGAAGGAGAGAAGGAGAGAGAAGGAGAGGGAAAAGTGAAGTGAGAGGAAGAGAGGGAGTGGGGAAGAGAGAGAAAGAGCATGGGGAAGAGTGAGAGAGAGATGGCAAATGGTGAAGAAGTCGACCAATTTTTAAAAATCAAAAGAATAACAATAATGATGATACGATGAGGGTAAAAAAGTGACAGAGATAAGAAAAATTACAAACCATCAAAGAAACAAACACACCTTCAAAGTTTTCCAAAATGGCTACCCTTTGTCGGGGGAAAGTCGTTGTCTTAGGTAGTTGTCTTACACAGTGTCATTGTGATAGAGAAAAACCGCAAGGATGGGAGTGGGAAGCTGTGGTTTGTACAGGCGTTTGTTTGTACAGGTGGTCGTTTATACAGGTGGTTGTCTTGTACAGGTGGTTGTCCTGTACAGGTGATTGTGTTGTACACGTGATTGTCTTGTACAGGTGATTGTCTCGTACAGGTGGTTGTCTTGTACAGGTGGTTGTCTTGTACAGGTGGTTGTCTCGTACTGGTGATTGTCCTGTACAGGTGGTTGTCTTGTACAGGTGGTTGTCTTGTACAGGTGGTTGTCTTGTACTGGTGATTGTCCTGTACAGGTGATTGTCTTGTACAGGTGATTGTCTCGTACAGGTGGTTGTCTCGTACAGGTGGTTGTCTCATACAGGTGGTTGTCTTGTACAGGTGGTTGTTGGAACAGGTTCCTCTGTACTTGCCAGTTCTCAACTCGGATTTTTCTTTCCACTTCTCCTGCAGGCCACGTTTGCCTCTAAAGTGGAGAAAGCCAACGGAGATCTGACAGTGACGAGAGAAATTGACGGCGGCCTTGAGACGATCAAGGTCAAGACGCCCGCTGTTCTGACAGCTGATCTACGTCTGAACGAGCCTCGTTATGCTACCCTGCCCAACATTATGGTGAGCTTTTATCATCAGATATTTTGTATCTTTCAGATATTGGCCAGTCATTTCTGTTTTCAGAGTTAGGAAATATATCTAGATACAGTGATAGGACTTTGTTAGCGATAGGGGACTACTTTCTCAGGGGTAAAGGAAGGATCTGATACTTATTTTTGTATAAAAATATAGTGTTTTAAAAAAAAGAAATTTATGAACTTTTAAATGGTATATTTTAAAAAGATTTATGATCGACCTTTTCAGACGAGGACAAAGGTTCAGTTTGGGTTTTTTTAACTTAGAAAATTTTCCACTTTCAATTAGTTTACCAGGTCTTCAAATATCCTACAGGAAAGCCTATGCTTTGGACTATATTTGTTTTTGATTGCATGTCATGTACTGCTGTGTTGAACAGGCAGATGTCATGGGTAAAAAAATGTCAGTTTTTGTTTTCTCATACGGTATAAGCGCGCTAACTCAGCAGTTTGGAGCACCTACTAGCGCGGGACCTATTTATGTTGCAAGTCATGGAACATTCTTCTGAAACAAAACTTATAAAAGTCTCGAACGATGAAATTTCTCGACAGAAAGCCAAGAAGAAAAAGCTGGAGAAGAAGAAGCCCTCGGACTACGGAGTGGAGCTGTCGCCACGGCAACAGGTTGTGAGCGTGGAGGACCCCCCGGTGAGACAGGCGGGCTCCAAACTGGACAGCGTGGAGGAACTGGTTGGGAAGCTCAAGGACTCGGGGCTGATCCCCTCCTGAGGTTTGTGCTCGCTACGTTTTTGGAACGTACGCTGGAGTCTGCTCACACTGAACTCTGCGGGACCTCCGGATTTTCTTTTGTTTATCCGGGTTTTCGGATTATTAAATGTGTTCAGTTTGAGGGGACTCCACTGTAGGTGTTTGTTCATTTCCGTGGACACAGTTTAGATCTTTTTAGGAGACAGGCTGCCGCTCCTGCCTGTCGGGGCCAACTCAGGCTGTAAAAATTAGAATTTTAATTTCCAGAGTTTTTACTAGCCCCCATCAACACAATGCAGAGATCACTTACAAGGCAGGTACTGAGCCTGTCTGTGTGTACCGACCCGGGCTGAGAGGAATACTACATCCCAGCAGAAAAACTGAGATTGTCTATTAAAAATATTTTCCCCTCTCGGGAATGGAACTGAGGTCTCCTGCGGGCAACAACGAAATGCCTAACTGCTACACCACATGCCAGTTTGTGCTTTCTGGTTGAGAACCTACTGGTCTGGAGCATGAGCATGACACCAAATTGTGGCAGTGGTGCTGTAAAACATGTGCTCAAATGAACCAACACCCAATTTTGTCAATAATGGTGTACTGTTCAACTTCTGTTTAAATAAACACCCAATTTTGTCAATAATGCTGTAAAACTTCTATTCAAATAAACAAACACCCAATTTTGTCAATAATGCTGTAAAACTTCTTTTCAAATAAACAAACACCCAATTTTGTCAATAATGCTGTAAAACTTCTTTTCAAATAACAAACAACCCTGTTTTTCAGCAGGCAAAAAAAATTATATATCTTTTTGCATTCAAGCTGCGCTACGGTCATGAAGTAATGTGAAATGTAACTTCTTCTTTGTCATGAAGTAACCTGAAAAGTAACGTCTTCCTCTTTCTTTGGTTCGGTTTCAGGCCAGCCTTCTCTTCACGTCAGTTGACGGTGTGTCGTGGTGACCTGTGCGCGCCAGCGGGTGGGGCACCCAGACCTGGCACTTTGTGATGGGCGGAGCCAGCAACACGCAGGAGGACCAGCGGTGTTTTGTTTGTTTTCCCTGAGGGCGAATGATGACCTTTGAACTTTGTGTGTGTCGGTGTGGCGAGGGTGAACACGGGATGGACGCGATGCGTGTGTGTGTCATTGGGAAGAACTGTCGCTGATTGGTCGTCGTGCTTGACTGGAATAATTTGAATAATTACACAGACTCTTGTATTGTTTTGCCGTAAATAGGAAATTAAAGAAAGGAGTTTTTTCTCAGAGTTTTTGTTCTTTTTGTTCTTTCTTATTTGTTGTATTTGTATTGTAGTCTATGTGTAATTTGTCTTATTTGTATTGTAGTCTATGTGTAATTTGTCTTATTTGTTATGTAGTCTATGTGTAATTTGTCTTATTTGTTTTATTTGTAATGTAGTCTATGTGTAATTTGTCTTATTTGTTTTATTTGTAATGTAGTCTATGTGTAATTTGTCTTATTTGTTTTATTTGTTATGTAGTCTATGTGTAATTTGTCTTATTTGTTTTATTTGTAATGTAGTCTATGTGTAATTTGTCTTATTTGTTTTATTTGTTATGTAGTCTATGTGTAATTTGTCTTATTTGTTTTATTTGTAATGTAGTCTATGTGTAATTCGTCTTATTCGTTTTATTTGTAATGTAGTCTATGTGTAATTTGTCTTATTCGTTTTATTTGTAATGTAGTCTATGTGTAATTTGTCTTATTTGTTTTATTTGTAATGTAGTCTATGTGTAATTCGTCTTATTCGTTTTATTTGTAATGTAGTCTATGTGTAATTCGTCTTATTCGTTTTATTTGTAATGTAGTCTATGAGTAATTTGTCTTATTCGTTTTATTTGTAATGTAGTCTATGTGTAATTTGTCTTATTTGTTTTATTTGTAATGTAGTCTATGTGTAATTTGTCTTATTTGTTTTATTTGTTATGTAGTCTATGTGTAATTTGTCTTATTTGTTTTATTTGTTATGTAGTCTATGTGTAATTTGTCTTATTTGTTTTATTTGTAATGTAGTCTATGTGTAATTCGTCTTATTCGTTTTATTTGTAATGTAGTCTATGTGTAATTTGTCTTATTCGTTTTATTTGTAATGTAGTCTATGTGTAATTTGTCTTATTTGTTTTATTTGTAATGTAGTCTATGTGTAATTTGTCTTATTTGTTTTATTTGTTATGTAGTCTATGTGTAATTTGTCTTATTCATTTTATTTGTATTGTAGTCTATGTGTAATTTGTCTTATTCGTTTTATTTGTAATGTAGTCTATGTGTAATTCGTCTTATTCGTTTTATTTGTTATGTAGTCTATGTGTAATTTGTCTTATTCGTTTTATTTGTTATGTAGTCTATGTGTAATTTGTCTTATTCGTTTTATTTGTAATGTAGTCTATGTGTAATTTGTCTTATTCGTTTTATTTGTAATGTAGTCTATGTGTAATTTGTCTTATTCGTTTTATTTGTAATGTAGTCTATGTGTAATTTGTCTTATTCGTTTTATTTGTAATGTAGTCTATGTGTAATTTGTCTTATTTGTTTTATTTGTAATGTAGTCTATGTGTAATTTGTCTTATTCGTTTTATTTGTAATGTAGTCTATGTGTAATTTGTCTTATTTGTTTTATTTGTAATGTAGTCTATGTGTAATTTTTCTTATTTGTTTTATTTGTAATGTAGTCTATGTGTAATTTGTCTTATTCGTTTTATTTGTAATGTAGTCTATGTGTAATTTGTCTTATTTGTTTTATTTGTTATGTAGTCTATGTGTAATTTGTCTTATTTGTTTTATTTGTTATGTATGTGTATTTGTAATCTCCTGTTAGAAAGCAAATGTTGTGTTAGCACTTCATCAAGATACGTACATAGAATAGGCAGAATAAGCCTTGTGAGTAGTTGGTGGGTGCTCTGGTGTGGTTTGATCTTTCTTTCCTATCAAACGAAATGTCTATCTTCTTTACTTCTCCTCTTTCTTTCCTATCAAACATCTATCTTCCTTACTTCTCCTCCTTTTTTGTATTTGTTACTTCCTTGTAATGCCTGTAATCTTTGGCACTTATATGACCTTATTGTGTTGCAAGTGCTGTAAAACACTTACAAAATCAAAACAGTCAGCCTTGGCCTGGAAAATGACAAAATGTGTAATGAAGTTATGGGTTGTTTGTGTCAGTGTTTTCTGCCCTCAGTGACACCATGACACTATGACACAAGGACACTGTTTCGATCGTTTAAAATTGGCGGCAACTTGAAACCTGCCCGCCAGGACCAACAAATGTTTTCTGGCACTATACGAACGATGGCCGTGACAACACTGTCGGGTTAAAATCGAAGACGCGCAGCCTTTTTTTTTATAAGTGTTGTACGGCGCTTGCAGCTGCATAAGGTCATATGAGCGCCCTGGACATATGAAGCATTTTCAGTTTTGTTAGTAATAACTTCGACTTTTACCTGAATGGTGGCTGAAGCCTACTCTTATTGGTTTTCGGCAATCTGGCTAGCAGACCAACCTGCCCCGACTCGATCCCCCAATGGGCACCCCGTATTACAATGGCCTGATCTTTCACAGATGGATAGATGTTTTAGTTTAGTTTTATTTGAGGTTTTACGGCACTCGCAACTGCATAAGGTCATATGAGATGGATAGATGAAAGCATTGCTTTCTTATACGATTTTCTTAGGTAAGACACACAAGGTCACCATATTCGTCTTTCTCTGACACCGTGGGCATATTCCCAACGAAGTGATACACTCCCCAAATAATCCCAAGTTGGACGACAACAAAGTTACGTTCTTTTTTAGCCACTTTAGGTTCCACGAGAAGGGCGCCACTTTATACCAGAATTGGGAAAATCAGTCTTGTCGAGCAGATTCTGTTCTGATGCAATGTTTCTTTCGTAATTATATTGTCTGCCATGACGTCATACTATAACTGACTCGGATTAGAAGAACATCCTTGGACATTTGATCAAATACGCCAAGAGTTTTTACTCAAACGAAAAAACAACAATCAACAAACAAACAAACAAACAAAAAAGCTTGCTTTAAAATCATTGTCTTGTCCTTGTTTTTTTCTTTATTCAAACAAACCGACCAATCTACCAACAAACCAACCAAACTACCAACAAACCGACCAAACTACCAACAAACCGACCAATCTACCAACAAACAAACCGACCAATCTACCAACAAACCGACCAATCTACCAACAAACCGACCAATCTACCAACAAACCAACAATATTATATTACACCTGGTTTATCACCGTTACTGTGTTGATGTTTTTCCACAAATAAACAGACCAATCAATCAACAAATCAACCAACCAATCAACCAAACAACCAACCAACCAACCAACCAACCAACCAACCAGCCAACCAACCAACCAACCAACCAACCAACCAACCAGCCAACCAATCTCTACCACCACACGCTCAGACCAGCCGGCCCAGCCACACACAAGCAGTAAATACAGCATGTTCCTCTAGCTGTGCTCCACGACAGTCGCCAGTGTCCAGTGGGCGGTGTGCAGCTGTCCCGGGCTGTGTGAGCTGAGGTCAGACATCTGCAGACACTCACACTCACGTGTGCTCGCCTGGTACTGTAGTGCGTTGCACGCCTCCCTCCTCTCCTCCCCCTCCTCCCCCTCCTCCCCCTCCTCCCCCTCCTCCCTCTCCTCCCCCTCCTCCCCCTCACAAAGGGCCGCACACTCCAGCAAACTTCTCACGCCAGACTCCGTGAACAAAGGAGACAGCGAGCTTTTCCGACCTGCCCATACCTCCAAATACAACGGCGATGTGAATGGTGATGATGATGGTGATGATGACGGTGATGATTGTGGTGATGATGATGATTGTGGTGATGATGACGGTGATGATTGTGGTGATGATGATGATTGTGGTGATGATGACGGTGATGATGATGACGGAGATGACGGTGGTGATGATGATGATGGGGATGCTGCTCCTGATTCTGATGGTGGTGACGATGATAATGATGATGACGGTGAAGATGGCGCTGGTGCAGTTGTCGATGTCGATGGTGATGATGATGATGATAAGGTAAGGATCAGCTCTCCGAACACTTGCACCTCACACAAGACCAGATTGCTGTTCCCGATCTTGTGGATGGTGAGGTAGCGGCCGCCGACAGACTCGCCACAAGACAGCTGTTCGGTTCTCGCAGACTTGATGCCGGAAGTTCTGAACACACACAGCTCGCCTAGATGACTCACCGCCGGGAATTCCCCATCCTCGCGGGGGTTCCCCGCCGACACATACACCGAGAAATTCTTCAGTTTATTGACGTCAGTAAACTTTCTGTTGGTGATTTTGACGGAGTGGATGAGATACTGGTGGAGAAGATCCACAATCCACCAGGAGGAACCGTCTCTTTCGTCAGGGCTTCCGGTTTTAGAGCAAGAACCCTGGTTGAAAATGCTGTTGGTGTCTCCGTCGTTCGCGAGGTGGGCGTAGGCCGGGCTAGATCCACGCTCTGACCACACGCTATTTTGGGCCGCGGGTTTTCCCAGAGCTAGATTGTCCAGCCCGTGAGTGGGAGGAACGTGGGTGGTGGAGAGGTGGAGGACGATGAGGGAGGAGAGGGTGAGGAGGTGGGAGGAGAGAGAGAACGCTCGGACGACGTGGCTTATCCTCTGTGTGCGGATAGACAGAAAGTTCTTTCGCCTACACCTAGTTTTTCTCCACATTTTGAATTTTTTGTTTAGTTTTAGTAAGAGTTTTACGGCACTTGCAACACAATTAAGTCATATAAGTGCCGAAGATTCGAGGTGTTGCAAAAGAGTAAGAAACATAAAAAAGAAAGAGGGGAGACAAAGACGATAGATGTTTGATAGGAAAGAAGACGCAAACCACACCAGAGCACCCGCCAACCACATACGTATTGTCTGTGTGTCTCGTCACAATTCCTCTCCTGTATTTGGGAGGTGCTGAGGGTGTTCCTACAACACTGTGACGATCTTCTTAAGGTCTTGGTCTTCTCAGGGAGTCACGTGTTGTCCACTTGTTACTGAAGGGAATCTGCACACCAGGATTTGAACCCTAGGTCTTTCACCTCATGAGTCTTCACACACAGAGATTTGAATCCTAAGTCTTTGGGTACGATTGATAAAGGCTTTTGTCTGCAAACAGTTGTAACAGTCTTAATTTGCTCAATATAAAATAACCAAAGAAAGAACCACCAGTATGAGCAGAAACAATGTCTTTGAGCACTCGTCCTTTACTCAGTTACATTCCAGCAACAGTTCACGAAATGAACAGGATTTTTGGCTCCAATTTACGGTCAGTGAACACAGTGATTGTTTCCACAACTTTCACAATTAAAACGGCTTTGCATGTCGCGGAAAAACAAAACAAAACGATTTTCTTTGTACTAGACATGGAAGGTTTTCAGTGAGCACAGTCTAGAAAAGTAGGTAAACCTTGTCTCATATGAGAATATTAGATTTAGATTTGTTTTGTTTTTTTGTTCAAAGTAATCCGGACAGCTCAAAGTCCTGGCGGGCGACGCGGAAAAGTCGTGATCACTGGTGTAGCCGACCACAGCCGACCTTTTGTCGTAGACGGACAAAGCACGCGCTCACTCACATGTCCGGACGTTGTTGCGAAAACTGTGAGCAAACTGAGACTGGCGGACCAGCAGCATAATAGGACGGACTAAAGACTCGCAGGTCGGGGTGTTGACAGTTAACAGGTCGAGATGTTGAGAGTTAACAGGTCGGGGTGTTGACAGTTAACAGGTCGGGGTGTTGAGAGTTAACAAGTCGGGATGTTGACAGTTAACAGGTCGGGGTGTTGACAGTTAACAGGTCGGGGTGTTGAGAGTTAACAAGTCGGGATGTTGACAGTTAACAGGTCGGGATGTTGAGAGTTAACAGGTCGGGGTGTTGAGAGTTAACAAGTCGGGATGTTGAGAGTTAACAGGTCGGGGTGTTGAGAGTTAACAGGTCGGGATGTTGAGAGTTAACTTGTCGCGAAAAGGAAAGGAAGACATGGGGCCTCGGTGGTCTGGTGGTTAAGGTGTTTGGCTCACAACCGAAATGTCATGGGTTTGAATTCCGTGAGGGGTTCTGACGTTGTGTCCTTGGGAACGACACGTTACACAAATTGTCCTCACTTCACCCAAGTGGGAATGGATACCTGGCAATAGACAACGAAAGATCTGGTCAGTTGGTCACTGTCTGAGCGCTTTGTCGGCTGCTGTATACTCCCCGGAAAGCCGAGAACGGTTCTGCTGAGAGTTCTCTACTCCGCTGGGGGAATTATTCTGTTGACTGTAAAGTACACACAGCTTGCTGGTGAGCGGGGACGTGAGCTACTCAAAAACTATTTGTTATTTATATGTGTGAGCTCCACCAATGAAATGTGTGGGGGCGGAGTTAGTCCGTCAAGCGAACACCGACAATATGGCCGACAATATGGCGGACAATGTGGGAGTTGACACAGAGGACAATGGGCCACAGAGGGGAAAGGACTCGCTCAAGAACAAACCACACTTTGTTTGCGATACCAGGGAGTATATTACATGTATAGTGATAGACTCTGACGATACCAGGAAGTATATTGTAGTTATAGACTCTGACGATATCTCTGACGATACCAGAGAGTATATTGTAGACTCTCTGACGATACCAGGCCGATGCTGTAAAACGACGAGAAACGAAAGTACAACCCAGGTACCTAATGCACACCCCCACCACAACGATCCGTCAATGTCAAAATAGGCCCCGCCCACCCTCCCACCCATCCTCCCCTTTGTGCTGTTAAGGTACATTTTTACTAGCTGTTTTCGTCTATCGACTGGGCTATTTCGGTTGGGTACACTCGACCCCAAAACGTCCGTACAGTTCTTGTTGCTGTTTGGTTTTTAAGTAGTTTACTTCTCTCACCTTTCGGAAGCGAACAAATTATTGATGGAGAGAGAGAGAGAGAGAGAGAGAGAGAGAGAGAGA